AAAAAAAATAAGCATAAACTGCTCCTTTCAAAAGACGAGCAGAGATTGACCGTACAATGATCCAAATTATCCGGCATACATATACATAAATATAAAAAGGTGTGGTATTTTTGGTGTAGTATTTTTTACACAATGGAGTATTACTCAGCTATCAAAAAGAATGAATTTGTGGCTTTTGTAGATAAATGGATACAACTAGACACTGTATTGATAAGTGAAATAAATCAGAACCGCACAGGCAAGCACTGTATTGTCTCGCTACTGAAACCTGAAAGATAGAGAAAATCTGAAAGGTACAAAAGATTCTGAGGCAGGGAAAGCGCTTGTTCAATGGGAGGGAAAACCTGGGATGAGGAAAAAGACAAAAGAAAGAAGGGGAAAAGATGCAATTAGATTTTAATGACTCCGCAAGGTAGTGAATGTTAGGGGCTGTGGAGATGACAGGAGAGGGCGCCAGCCCACCTCATTCTACGACTGGTTTTCTTCTATTCTTTTAAAATCATGTTTCAGGGTAAAAGTTAGCAATTTTTTAAAAATTAATAGACGGAGCTGTGTTCTCCCTTTCAGCTGCTGAGCTGCCTTTATAAACACTATAAGGTAAATCTCACCTTAAATTAAATTCATATTTGTTTTTACATATGCTATTGGAGGAAACTTTTCTACTTTTAGAATTTCAGAAACTATTTCCAGGACTGCGCCTTCCTTGCACTGTCCTTTCTTCCCACTGTTCTTGCGAGGTTCTTGGATTGAGGACGTACAAGCCTTGGGCAAGCGTGGGCACACGTGTGAGCTCCGGTTAGAAGCTCAGCAAGAACCTGGGTGCCACGCACACGGCTTTAGAGATACCGCCAAGCTGGTTGTGTAAGACGGGAGCAAAACATAGTTGGATATTTAAATTTATAAAATGCATTGCAGTAAGAGACACACTGTTACTAAATCCCTTGACAATACATCCGCTCACTTCAAATCCGTTTCTCGTTATTGCCACATTCTGAAGCACTTTTGTAAGTCCTCTTTCCTGTGTGCGCTTACGAGAGATGACTGAGCATACAGCGAAGGAAGGTGGCTGCGCGCCCAGCCCAAGCGCTGCGCGGGCCTAGCTCACCGCCCCATCCGTGGGACCCGCCCTCTGCCTCGTCCCCAAAGTCAGGATGACCGTGAATGGAAATGTTGCGCCCCAAGGCGGGAACGGGGCAGCTACAGGTACTCAGAGAGAAGAGGGGCTTCTGCACTGCCTCCGGAAGGGCCAGGCGCCGCGGGACGGCGGGGGCCAACGCCAGGGGGCGAGGTCGAGTGGGTCTAAGGCGCTGGGACTTCACTGTCACGAACTTTTAAAACATTTAAACACTCGACACGGTCTTACGTCACACTTTGTGTAGAGCTAAGGAAACCTGAGGAAAATGTAACCCTGGAGGAAACAACCCTAAAATTTTCCCCTGTGCTTGTTGTCCACACAACTGCTTTCACTGGGGGCCGAGAGCTGCTGCGAGAATTTTGCAACAGCATGAATGTTACAGGGTTATAGAAAAGGGAAACTTCCTCCATTACTGACCATCTAAATATATTATAGGCCGTGTAAGTAAAATCAGTGTTTTCCTCAGATACAACCCTGGAGAGAGGGCACTGGGCAGTTCCCAAGATGTAGCTATGACAAATTGTGCTGCTATAAACACAAGTGCACATGTGTGACCCACCTGACTGTAGTTTAATGCACGGTGATAGACTTGGGTGTAGTTTTAGTTTCTGGCATATGGAAAGCTAGTTTTTCCAGCAGCATTTGTTTTGGGGGGTTGGTTTGTTTGTTTGTTTGTTTGGGGGGGTTGGGGGAAGTATTAATTTTATTGAGAAACAAATAGCAATGAGATAGTTTCAAAACCAATTAGTAGGACAGTTTCAATAATTAATACATTGCATATTGTTGTCTTCATGGTGGTTATTCATAGTACAAGATGCAGACATGATATCCTGTCCAAACACTATTAGTACAAATCTCTCTATTCATTGAATTAAGAGAAAGTACCTGGATATCTATCCTATTTTGTATATACAGATACAAAATGGTCCTTCATTTGTATCCCCCTTTTTGTTTACTTTTGTCAGCACTTGTTAAACAGGCTGTCTTTCTTCCAGTGCACATGTTTGGCCTCTTTGTCGAAGATAAGGTGACTGAGTGTGTTCGCAGCTGTGTCTGAATCTTCTGATCTTCCCATTGATCCTCCAGTCTGTTCTTTTGCCAGTGCCATGCCGATTTTATCACAGAAGCTTTGTAGTATAATTTCAAATCAGGGATTATGATGCCTCCTGCCTTGCCTTTGTTACCCAGGATTGATTTTGCTATTCTAGGTCTCTTCTGGTTCCAGATGAATTTTAGGAATGTTTTCTCTAGATCTGAGAGATATGGTAATGGTATTTTGATAGGGATTGCATTAAATCTGTACAAGAATTTTGAGAATGTGACCCTTTTCACAATGTTAGTTCTTCCTATCCAGGAGCCAGGAATATCTTTCCATGTTCTGAAATTCTCTTCAATCTTTTTTCAGAGTATTGGAGTTTGCATTCTGTAGGTCTTTTACTTCTTTTGTTAGATTAATTCCCTGGCATTTCATTTTTTTGAATGCCATTATGAAGGGTGTTGCTCCTCTATTCTCTCTCTCAGTGAGTTTGTTTTTAGTGTAGAGGAATGCTATTGATTTGGGGTGCTGACTTTGTATGCTGCTATGCTGTTGAATTTCTTTACTACTTCTAGGAGTTTCTTGGAAAAGTCATTTAAATCTTCCATGTAGAATATCATATCTGAAAGCATGTAGACATCTTGAAAACATAGAGGTAGGTAGAGAATTCATGAACAAAAACAAATTACAAGGGAAGCACTTCAAAGAATTGACAATTGGGTCCTCATCTTTTTAAAAGTTTCTACTAATAGAAAGAAATCACGAACAGAGTAAAAGGAAAAACCACAAAATGGGAAAAAAATTATAGGTGACTGTCCCTCAGACAAACAATCTCTATCTAGAACATATACAGAACTTTTTAAAAAGTACTAGGGCTCAAAATTTAAAGACCCAATCCAAAAATAAGAATCTGAGATGAATACACACTATTCAGATGAAGGCATACAAGTGGAAAATAAATATATGAAAAAAATGTTCAACATCATTGGTCATTTGACAAATGTAAATTAAAACAATACTGAGATTTCATCTCATTCCAGAAGGAATGGCTGCCAAAGACAAATGCTAGAGGGGCTGTTGGGAAAAGAAACCCTTTTGCACTGTTGGCAGGAGTGTAGACTCCAACCATTATGGAAATCAGTATGGAGATTCCTCAAGAAAGCTAGGACTGGATGCTCCATTCAGTGCAGATATTTCCCGTCTGGGTATTTTTTCAAAAGAACTGAAAACATGTGCACTCATGTAACAGCCCCACAATTTGTCATAGCTAAATCTTGGAAACAACCCAAATGCCCGTCAACTGAAGAACAGATTAAAAAGATGTGGCATTTTTACACAGTGGAGTAGTACTCAGCTATAAGAAAAGATGAAGTGGAGGTTTCCATAGGTACATGGACGCAACCAGAGACCATACTTATAAGTGAATAAATCAGACTCACACTTGCAAATGTCATAGTGTCTTGCTAGTGTAAGAACCTGAAAGTGTAAATAAAATCTGAAAAGTACAATAGATACTGTGAAAGGGAAAGAATCAAAAGGAAGAAAAAAGTTGGATGAGGAAAAGAACAAAAGAAAGAAGGAAGGGGAAAGATCTACGTATGGATGTGCACAGGATAGCTTGGATAATTATGCTGATAACTTCTGCTGGTCTACTAAAAGAAGCTGTTAAAGCTGAAAAAACTTTTCTTCTCCTTTTTAACTTCTTACAACTGCTTTTTCTTTTACCAATTTCATATCTTATATATGGTAGTCTAATCAACCAGTTGAAGACATTAGGCAATATAACAACCATTGTCGAACTCCTATTTTTTGGTTTGGTGAAATTCTGTATCATATTTAATTTTGTATTTTCTTTTAGAAAATAAAAATAAGATAAAAAATAAAAAGTTTTAGTAACGTAGAAATACCTAAAACAGTATATTTTATGATATGTTATAATACACATACTCCCACTCGACATTATAGAATTACAAAAGAAAATTAAGAATTGACTCAAGCGATCGTGGATGACTGTTTTATACTCCCCATTGTCTTCAGGTCCGTGTTCCGTCGCAAGCGTTACCAGCCACTGCCTGACCTCGGACATTTCTCGCACCTCTTCGGTTGCCTGTCCTCAAGGCCATGGTGAAAGGCAATCAGACGGAGTGCACAGACTTCACCCTCCTGGGCTTCTTCCCGGAGTCAGGCGCATCGCAGTGCTGGTCCCCGCCATCTGCCTCGTCCACACGGCCGCCTGCGCGGGCAACGCCCTCCTGATCCCCCTCATCTGGCTGGACTCCCAGCTGCACACGCCCACGTACCTCCTGCTCGGGCAGCTCTCCGTGATGGATCTGACTCTGGCCTCCTCCATCATCCCCAAGATGCTCGCCGACCTCTTCTCTGGACGTCGGAGCATCTCGCTCCTGGCTTGTGGGGCCCAGATTTTCTTCTCCCTGACCATAGCCATCGCAGAATGCATCCTTATAACGTTCATGTGCTTCGACCGCTACGTGGCCATCTGTAACCCCCTGCGCTACGCAGCCATAGTGAGCCCCAGAGTCTGTCTGCAGATGGCTGCCGCGGCCTGGGCTGGAGGGGCGCTCACATCCCTGGGCCACACAGCCTTCACCTTGCACTTGCACGTCTGCAGCCCCAGAGAGATCCCCCACTTCTTCTGCGAGGTCATGGCCGTGCTCAGGATAGCCTGTGAGGACATCTCTGCCTATGAGAAGGCTGTGGTGGTGACAAGCATCCTGGTGCTGCTGCTGCCCCTGTCACTCATCCTGTCCTCCTACGTGGTTATCTTCCTGACTGTGCTCCGTATGCGCTCCCCAGAGGCCCGCAGCAAGGCGCTGGCCACCTGCTCCTCTCACCTCTGCGTTGTGGGGCTCTATTTTGGTCCTGGGATGTTTATCTACATGAGACCTGGCTCTGCCAAGACCCCAAAGCTGAATCAGGGTCTGTTTCTGTTTGGAACCGTGCTGACCCCTTTCCTGAACCCACTTGCCTACAGTTTCAGGAACAAGGAAGTTCTTGGTTCGCTGAGAAAGATGGTGAGCCAGTGTCGTGACAGAATTATCATTGTGAGCTGAAGGAAATGCTCACCAACAAGGAGACGCTTCTCAATTAAATGTGAACCTCGGTGAGACCCTGAAATACTAGTACAGTCACATTGCAAAAACGCTGAAAATTCACTTCCTCCCTGTCTGGGGATTGCTGTGCAGTCGCTGTGGATGATTTTCTGATAAGGGACAAGAACTCTGCCCACTGAGAAAAAGCAGCCTTGGTGGCCACACCTGGAGAACCCAGCGCACTACCTGCACACGGGGCCTGCGGTCCTCCGAAGCACTCCCTGGTTAAAGGAATGCAGCACAGGCCAGATTGCAAAGAATCAAGCAAATTTGCCACCATCATTTTCAAGTTTCCGTGCAGTGGCTCCCTGATCATTCGCACTAGTCGACTGCTATTTGGACTGAGAGTGGCGGTTCTGGGCCCGTTGTGGACCTGTAGGGTTGCAGTCCGTCACGCGGGCCTGGGGCTCTGACTGGGGCCGCCCACTGATGCTTCACGTGAATCAAGGGCTGTGAGCCGCTGATCTACGTGTTCACCTGGCTGCTCCTCTAGGCCAGCGTAGCAGACTAACTTAGCAGTCGTGAAGCGCTCTGTCTCTGTACTGGAGAGTTAGGAGGGGTTAAGACAGTGAGCACTGATACTGTCACTCAAAATTCAGAGGATAAATATCTCCTTTTTCTGAATAGCCCATAACTTAAAATTTTGACCACAAAACAGTGAGTAAATGGAGTTTTCCTGTAAGGAAAGTAATGTAGTGTAAAGCTACGGATGGTTTAAAATATAATATGGCATGAGACCTGAAGCGAGGATGTATAATAGGGTTTTCCAAAATATTTTGATGTGCCCAGAAGCCTGAGCATTCTATGCAGGTAGAGAAAACACTAAGCCTAAGAATAGAAGGTTCTTGCTGACTGCGGGAAATAAGAAGAAGACCACTTTCTCAGGAAGGGGAGACCCTCAGGAGCGCTGACGCCGCGCGCCTCCTCCCCGGTCCCTCCCACAGCGCCTAGTCCATCGAGACCCGAAAGCTGAGTTGGGAAAGTTCAAGGCTGGTTAAACCTTAGTCTCGTGAAGTGCTTGCAGCTGTATCAGCGCTGTTCCTAACGTGCTGCCTTGAAGCACGTACACCGCGGCCGGGCACACCGAGATAATCAGCTTCCGTGTTGCCTCGTGTACTTAGTGCTGTCACGTGATGAGAACAGTCAAAAATCTGCTTTCTTAGCAATTTTCAAAAATGCAAGCCACCATCAGTGACTGTAATAAACGTGGTGTATAATAGAGCTCCTGAATTTCTTCCTCCTTTCAAACTGCAGTGAGCCTTCTGTCCTTCGGCCACTGCCCATCCTTTCTCCCCCAGCACCCTGCAACTGCATTTTCGTATTTACTTTTGTAGATTCCGTACGTGAAGCAGCTGCAGAGTTTGTATTTCGATTTTGCCAGACTTTGTGCTTGTACTCCAGCTTGCTGCGCTAATGTCCTCTCCTCCAGCTTTGTCTGCTGGTCGCTAATCGCAGGATTCCCTTCGGGTTTGTGTGAGCCACACGTCCTCCACCCGCTCATCCGCTGGTGAGCACTGGGGCTGGCTCGCACCCTAGCGCTGCGGAGGAGCGCCCCGCGAGCGGGGGTGTGCATGCCCCCCCGGGGCATCCGGCTCCATTTCCTTGGGGTACACGGCCGGTGGGTGGAGAGCGCGGCAGTTCTGCTCCTGAGTCTGGAGAAGATTTCATACCACTTCCTGCAATGGCCTCGCCAGTGTAAGCACACCGCGAGTGGTCTGCGATCCCCACGCCAGTTGTTCTTTGAGCCTCGAGGTTTCTAAAGTGTATATAATGTTTGCAGCCCTGCGAGACTGCAGGAGGCAGATTCAGACTGCCATGTTTTTTGAACTCTTCTTTCCACTGAGAAATAACATCAAATTATCTTTATTGTGGAGTGTGGAGCTTCTTTCAGTTTTTATTGGCGCATATTAGCGGTGCAGAACGGAGGGGTTAATTCTGACATGTCAGCGACGCCCAGAGCATTCCGGGCTGTTTTCTCCTCCCCATCCCGCCCCTCCCCATCCCTTCCTCAGCCCTATGATTCCGCATTCCTTTCCGGGCATTTATCCTTCCTATTGCTCTAATTAAGTGTTTAGACTCCACTGTGAGAGAAAACACGCTGCGTCTGGTTTGCTCTGCTCAACGTGAGGGCCTCCGGCTGCACACACCCTCCAGCGCGCAACAATTTTATTTTCCTTAGGACTAAGCAATTTTACATGCAGCACAGTGTCTTTCTCCATTCCTCTGCGGGTAAGTGTCGAGGCCACGGTCACAGGTTACCTATTTTTCACTGAGCTGCAGTAAACATGGGTACGCAGGAATCTCTATAGAATGCTGATTTTAATTCTTTTTTTTTTCTTTTTTGCGGTACCAGGGATCAAACTCAGGACCTTGCGCTTGTCAGGCAAACACTTATTCCACTGAGCTAACTTCCTGGCCCCTGATTTTAATTCTTCCAGAAATAATCCAGTAAGTTCTATAACTAGATCAAATGATTTCTCTGTTTTTTATTTTTTCAAGAACTCTAATGCTGATTTTCGTGATGCTATCCCAATTTGCAGCATCAACAACGCAAACAAAAAAAAATTGATGCCATCTTATTTATCTCTCCTCACTCTCCAAGCTTTTGGAAGCATTTGGGAAGAAGTTGGGTTATTTCTTCTCGAAATGTTTGGTGTAACTCAGAAGAAAAGACATCTGTTCCTGGGAGACATTTTATTGCATGATTCAATATATTAGTTTACTTATATTTTCTATTATTTTATCATTCAGCCTTGGTAGGTTGTATATGTCCATTAATTTATTCATTTTATCTAGGCTGCTCAAACTGTTGGAATATAAAGTTTATAGTAGTCTCTCCTAGTCCTTTTTATTCCCATGCTATCAGTTGTAATGTGTCCTTTTCACTTTTTAAAAAAAAATTACATTTTAATTGTACAAATTTAAAGGTAGTGTCATAACTCTATATACTGTATGTAGTGTGTAATGATCTTATTCATTATTGTTATAGCGTCTGCTCCCCTTTTATTCGTATAGCCACATATTTGTTATTTTTAATCTTTCTAAAACCCCAACATTATTTCATTGATCATTTCCATTGCTTTTCAAAACATTTATGAAAATGATAAGCTTGTATATATACATATATTATATATATATATACATATAATAACCATCAATGTAAATTACCTCAGTTCACCAATCAAAAGAAGTGGACTGGATGAGTGGATCAAGAAATAAAATCCAACAATATGCTGCATACAAGAAACACATTTAAATTAAAAGAAAACTAATAGACTGCAAGTCAAAGGGTGGAGAACAATATTCCATGTGATAGGAAGCCAGAAAAAAAGCAGTGGTAGCTATTCTGGTTGCTGACAATGTCAACTTCAGACCAAGAATTACTGAAAGCAATAAAGTAGATCACAACATACTTGATGTGGGAAGCTGCAAAAGGAAGAGATAACAATCATAAATATTTATACGACCAATGTAGGAGCATCCAACTGCAAAACACAAATTTTAATAGACATGAAAAATCACATGAGCATTAACACAATTGTGGGGGACTTTAACACACCATTGTCACAAAGATATAGATCAACTAGGCAAAACATCAGCAAGAAATAACAGAACTAGTGCCCTTGGAAGTGAACACACTGTGCCACACTGGCAAGGTGGACTGCTCCTGGATCAGCTGGGCGGCTCTTGCCTCTGGCCTCTCTGCACGGGGTTCTGCCACAGGGTTCCACACAGGGCCTGTCTGATGGAGGAAGTTCCATTCACATGCCTGGCCTGGGTGCTGGCTGGAGTGAAGATCCGGAGGGCTCTGGGAGGCCCCACTCACATATGGGGCCTGGAGCTGGCTGGAATGAGGATTCAGAGTGCCCGGGCAGTCCCACTCACATGCTGGGCCTGGGTGCTGGCTAGCAATACTCACATATTTATTATCACTATTTATTTACTACAGACACAATCTTAGGGCAAAAGAACTTCAGGTCCTATCACACAAGATTCACAGATTTAATCAAATCACTATAGGAACTCTGTAACATGATACTAAAGCCTCATTTTATAAATAAAAAAGGAAAAAAGAAAGAACCAAACTAAACTTGTGAAGAAATAGATTTAGTAGACCTTTACAGAATGTTCTACACAACATCAGAATAGACATTCTTCTCAGCAGCACATGGAACATCCTCCATGTACTAGCACATAGAGCATGCTGAAGGAGATGCAAAGAATTGAAACGACCCCATACATATTATCTGACCATAGTGCAATGAAACTGCAAATTATTAACAAAAGAAATGACAGAAATTCCAGAAACACAAGGAAATTAAGTAACACCCTCTTGAACAATCAATGGGTCACAGATAAAATTAAAGAAGAAATTAAACAGTGGGGCATGGTGGCACATACCTGTAATTCTAGCACTTGGGAGGCTGAGACAGAAGGATAGTTGCAAGTTCAAGGCCAGCCTGGGCTACAACGTGAGCTCAAGCCCAGCCTGAGCTGAACAGCAAGACCCTGTCTCAAAAAGACAAAAGAAGAAGAAGAAGAAGAAGAAGAAGAAGAAGAAGAAGAAGAAGAAGAAGAAGAAGAAGAAGAAGAAGAAGAAGAAATTAAACAATATTTACAATCAAATTAAAATGCAGATATGACTTGCCAGAACCTGTGGAATTCAGTGAAAGCTGTTTTAAGAGAGAAATTTATAGCAGTAAATTCTAATATCAGGAAAATAGAATGAGCCCAAATAAACAATCTTATGCTACACTTCAAAGTCTTAGAAAGGAAAGAGCAAGTCAAGCCCAAAGCCCAAAGAAGCCACGAAATTATAAAGATCAGAGCAGAAATTAATGCAATGGAGATGAAGAAAACAATACAAAGAATTAATGAATCAAAGAGCTGGTTGTTAAAAAAAATAAATAAAATTGATAAACTCTAGCCAATCTTATCAAAAAAAGGAAAAAAATTGAATT